ACAGACAACCTCTCGTCAATATGCGTTTTTTGCATTGCATTGCTGCAAAAAACGCATAAAAACTAACCTATTCGAGTCAAATTTTCGATAACTGCCTGGCAATGTTTGCAAATGTCGTCGTAAAAAATTCAAGTGTTCCTGTGTGAGAAGTATCTCGCCCATAAAAATCTGTAAAAGATGGCAACGAAACTGATACATAAAGCGCCAGCCAAACTCGAGCGTACAGCAAAATGTAAGTTTTGAAAACCTAACGCAGTCCATGCCTCAAAAACAAAGTACAATAATGGAAAAGTTCCCCTACAGACCCTTTCGTGGAAAATCGAAGTGTCTTGTGGCGAAAAAACATGAAAAGCGGGCAGCTACCGTTCCGAAATGAGGTAAGGATGCGAAACGTAGTTATTGGAATCAGTGAACACTGAATAAACCAATAGCACGGCGAATGCTTGTGGCCATAACAAATAATCACATACTTTGGCAGCTAAGCAATAAGCAGGATATCGTCGCCATCATAACAGAAAATAAAATCCGATAACGATAAGGATCAAAAAAAACCTTGGAAACTTAATGTCTGGCGTAACTAAGACGCCGGAGCGCATAAAAAATAAGTGTGGCACTCAACACCGAAACTTTGAATGATCACGGTGACTATTTAGCCAAGTTCTTATCAATTCGTTTAACAACAAAAAAAAAATGTTGGAGAAATATTTGTTACATTGGAAATGAACCATGTGACAAAGAATACGAATCAAGAAATATATATTATACGCATCCAACAACAACAACAACAAGCAAAACATGGCATCACAAAATAATAACGCACAAAGCGCAACTTTATCACCTGATCAGTAACAAAGCCATGAATTTTCTAAATGTTTCTACATTCAAACCCACTACTTCATCGTAATTCTCCGTGAATTTTCCAGGCTTGTAAAGCTGCTGTCCTGAAAATTACGCACTTCCGACTCGGAAACAAAAAATGAAAAACTGACTGTTTGATAGGAAGTGTTAAATAACTCTTCTGAGCGTATTTCCAGCGGTAAATAATGTCGTGAAAAATCTACAAGAAGCTGGCAAAGAACACTCGCCATAACAGTCGTATATTTCCCACGGGAAGGGAAAATAAGAAAGATGTATCCTGCCTTGAAAGCAGACAGAGAGTGGAAGGGTTCCTAGGCTGTTTGTGGGGCATAAGGGCCAGAAGCGCAGTAATTTAGCACACGTCAGGTTTCGATGTACATACGGGTTGATTTTCTTACGGCTCACACCCATTTGCACAAGAAGGCTGCGTTCATGAATAATGGAGAAAGTGAAAAAGCGGTAGAAGAACGGAGCCAAAAGAATCAATTAAAGGAGCAAATCCAACTGGCTTTTCAATACAAGAAGAGACACGGAAGTGGACATGAGGTCCACAAGCAATCTGACCACCCAGCACTGCAGTTCCGGCCATAGCAACAGTGCAAAGGCTGCCAGATGCGTTGATAACAAGGCGGGATCGGACCAAACGACACAGGAATCAAAGCACCAAAGTAACCCGATCAAAAAAAAAAAGACTTC